ACGCCTCAGCACCGTTCGGCCAAATGGCCAGAACTAGTTCGTGTCTCAAACCACTTCAGTACCGCAGCTAGTAAAGTTTGCTTAGCGGACGCTTTAATTTCAATGTAATTTCAACAAATGGTTCGTCTAATGTATAACACAATTGTGGTGTAACGGCTTTCGGAGGTCCTCTCAGACTTTCTGAAAGTTTTGAACCTTTTGAAGGTTCTCGTTGCCACTTTTCAGCGAAGCGGCCTATCGAGCGCCACATCTGCTGTTTCGGAATGGTATCGGACGGCTTGCTCCTGTTGCACCCGTTGTTAAACTTGCTGTGAGTGTCTTTGGCGGCCTTTCGTCGGTCGCAGAGGGCAGCACAAGCAGGCGGGAAGTGAGCTGGGTCGCCGCCTGCACAGTTATGGATATGCTGCACCGCTGAACAAGGAGTTCGGCCTTGTACAACGGTGGTAACTCCAGCGCGGCGTAGCACAACACCGCAGGCTTAACGGGTGGAAACAGCGTACTTGCGCCTTGAAAACATTTCAAAAGCGGCAACACTGGAGAAATACGTGCACCAATGCCCTAGAATTGCATTAAATTGTTGATTGCATTGGACTTTTGATGGCCAGCATGTGTATAAACTGGCATCTCCATATGTTCATTTCAAAGGAGGCCACCGGCCTAACGCGTCTCAACTGAACTATGAAAAACGAATTAGCGGCTCCGCCCGGCCCAGCTGTCGCACTTTCCAAAATATGATATTATTACAACCACTGATGGCAGGTCCGTGCAGTTCTCCGTAACATGAAGGTCAGTTATATGTGAGTAGTGCTGCATGCATTATCAAGCACTGACATGCAAATGTTTTGATTGGGCGGGATTTCCCTACAATATTGCAACTTCACCACAACTCTACCTATCGTGTTTGATCAACATGAAATACCTTGCGAAAGGCATCAGAAACATACTCGAAATTGGGCTCAGATCTCGACGCCGCAGCGTTGCAGCGATATGAAATTAGCAGATTCTATCGGAGGAGAAAGCGGAAATGGCGTTGGCAAAAGCTTTGGTTGATGTGTGCAGATGGTCGTACGCACACGCGTGCAACAATGGAGTCGCCCGCCTTGGGGCGCTTTTTCAGGATTAACATCAGGTCTCAACAACCAAAGGAAATGAAATGTGAAACCAACTTCACAGCGTGCGTGAATGAACCGATTGCAATTCGTAAGCGGAACGGAAAGCTGTCCCACTGAGAGCTGCGCCAGCAATCGACCAGGAAGCGGACAGTTCGCCTTTTCTGGCACCGATCTGAAATGAAAAAACTGCACAGCTGTTTAGACCCGTTTGTTCTGACCAATGTACCTCCAACCTACCTGCGGTCTTGCTGTACCTTGGTCACATTTGTCAAAACCGTGGCTCATTGCAACTCCACCAATTTTATCTTCTAGAATTGGGCACCCTGACCAGAACCGTGACCGTCACTTTGAATTATTCGGTTTAAACTGTGGTATTCGCGAATTAGCACCTGCATCAGTTGTCGAAGCTGTCCGTTGACTTGTTTTTAGGCCGCGTTTACATGATAGCAACGGATAACTCTCACATGTGTCAGGGATCATTCGCCCCATGCGCACAGCGTGTCTCACCGATACTGTCGACCAAACTGGTGCTCTGTCACACACATGATTACGGCTGGGAAAAGAGGTGACATACAGCAAAATACATCAGTGTTTAATGTTGGATTGATTTGTCCATGGCATATGAATACAAACAATATGTTAGGTCACCTTAGAGGAGCCTGGCATGTTGATCTGTTCAAAGACCTATGAGCTTATCAGCGTCTAATTCAGATGAAATGTTGGCTAATGGTCTGGCTATTCCGCAATGATCATACTTTGAAATAGGATATGGCATGGACAATGCAATATCCTATTTCGAAAGTATGCTGAATTGGATGCAAGCAAAAAAAAAAACACGGCGGAACAGTCGCTTATCTTTGCTTTGGATATTAAGTTGGACACCATGGGCTACACACTAAGTCAATAAGAGGCTACCTGATGATTCCTAACGAAAAGTTCGGTGATTGAACGGTAAAGTAAATGCGCGAGTCATTCCGCGCCGCAAAGTCCATCAACTGAACAAAATGTGAACACATGGACAATTCTGTATTTGGAATCGCCGAATGGCAAGGCCCAGGTGCTTGCGTTTCTCATAACTGTGGCAGAGGGGTTCAAACTGATCCACCATTGGGTGTGCCGTGATCTCCGAGGAGGTGGTGCCGGACTGGAGTCCAGCGGCTAATCTGCAGGAACACGCAGGACCGGGCTGGTCACGGGCGGTTTAGTCCCCAGAAACATCGGACCAGTTGGCTTAGCATGGAAGGGTGCGACCTGGCCATGTCAAGAGCGATCTGGTTCGCAGACTGTTGAATGCCTCTGCTCAGAGCCGGTCAGAGGGCGTCCCCCTCTGCCGCGAAAGGCGCGAAGCACGCGCGAGCTATCACAAGCGGATGGTTTGCCCCCACAGTCACGGAAGCCAGCGTGCGATCGCGGTTGGCTGGCTGCATTGAGCCATTTTGCGGGCCGCGACCGTCACGTGACTGGGAAATGTCTGCTCGAGGGGCGAGCCTCCCATTCCAGGCCGTTGGAAGTCACGTCAGCCGCGCAAACTCGGCCGCTGCAGCCGGCCGTGGAAACCGTCACCACTCGGTGCGGTGTGACGCGGCACCTACGGGCAGTGGGCTGGGTGGAGGGAGGCGATGGTTCGTGTTATGCAACATTTTGTGAGTTGGGAGTCACTTTTAGCCAGGCGTTTTTAAAGCTGTCAAGTTATGCATAATTTTGAATGAATTGGTCCTTAGGAGTTAAGTAATGGTGGTACGAGTGCTGTATGCGTGGCCGTGGAACCCAGCCCACGGGTTATTAGAGAGGTTTGGTAGTTGCTGAAAACCGATCTTAGATCAAGATGAGGTTCATTAGTATTCTCAGGACTAAGACGATTCTTCGATTGCCACACAATTTACATTTATGAAAAGCTTTGGCCACGACAAAACAGCAAGGCAATTTAGAGGGCAGACGATAACGTCAGTAAGGGTCCTCACCTTCCCAGCGGTTTGCTGCTGTCATATGTTTCGTAGCAGACCCATCAGAAGATGGCAGACTCATATTCAAGGCAAGTCATTTAACGAGACGTTTGGCGTACCAATTTGACCGGCCATTCTGCCGAGGTGGAAGGCAGGCGACGCCATATGGCCTCAGCACCTCTAAAACTCAAGTGGCACTCACAATGACGTGCATATTTGGTGACCACCCGATAAGGTGAAAGCTGGAATACCGGCAATGTCGTAATTCGGCATTGCCGGCAATTCAAACAGACAAATAACCTGAACATCACTAGCATGACACACGATGGTGACAGAAACCGCACACCTGTAGAACAGCAACGCAAAGTGAATACTAATGAGGACATTGGTCGATTACCTCGCATTTTATGTGCCAGTTATCCTCAGCCTTCCGATTTTCCGATGATGTCCGATCACGTCCAAGCTCGACCGGCGATGTGGAACGACGCATGCGTCAGGATTAGCTTTGGTTAGCTTGACGCGGCCATGCCGGCAAACAGAATGCTCATTCAAGATTAACCCGTTCACAACATGGACAGGGTGCAATGTAGCGTACGCGACCATTCGTTCGGTTACATCCAGCCCTAAGCTCTCGGAAGCGCCGCATGCCTTGGATAGTCCCGTGGGCTGGCCGGGTCCACATTCGCTCTTTTAACATGACGGCCGAGCTAAGCGGCTCCAATTTTTCTGCCGCTTAAGTCACCTGACGGAGCTGAGCTGGCCACGCCGAAGCAGCAGCCGCTGTTCAGCAGCTGACGACGGGCGTGTCATGCTCAGAGGCTACGCCATCAGCTCAGGGGCCACGTGTCACGTGATGTGACTAAAGGGACCGATTGGCGGGGCGCCGTCGAGGGATAGAAACAAGGATCCCCCCCCCCCCCGCCTCCATTGACAGCGAAGGTTGGCATGCCACCTGGGGCTGCATGGGAAAACTGGATTTAAGATGCTCCGTTTACAATCATCAGACAGCGGAGACACCGTCACCATTTGTTTCAGCCCAACTTGAGAAATCGTGCCAGCACCAGTCACAAACCCGTCGGTCCCGGACAGCCAACGGAGTCAAACGCCGGTCGGCCGAACCGGCGGCAAACTTCAGAGCGGGACACGAGAGTCAATCGGACGGCTGTGGCGGGGGGGGGGGGGGGGGGGGGGAGGGGGCGGTCGCCGGGGGCGCGGTACCGGCCGGTCGCCTCGCGGCCGCGCCGTAATGACGGCAGCGCGCGGCCGTGTCGTGACCCGCGCCCGTTAGCGTTGCGCCGCCGGCGATGATTCGTCCGTTCTCCGACAATACGGCGGCGGCGGTAATTGTGCGGCTAATGGCACCGCGATAGGCGCCGGCTGGCACCGCCAATCGAATCGGAGCCGATCCCACCGATCGGCCGCCGTCGGCGCGCCGGCGGAATCCCCGCGGCGGCCGATCGACGCCGCCGCCGTCCGCCGCCCGGCCCCGGGCCGAGCCTGGTCGAGCCGATCTGCGACCGCCTGACGTCGGTGCTGTGCTCCCGCGGAACGTCCGCCATCTCACTCGAACGGGCGTACCCCTTGGCTCGCTGAGAGTCGGAATGCGCCGAGCGATAACTGGCGTGCCAGGTGAATGACGGCGATCTGCCGGATTGGGTCACAGCATGATTTGCGTGGGAAGTGTCTTGCTCGCTCGCTGTCACGCGACGCGCTCGTAATCTCCCGGAGCCGGCCGTTTGGAGGTGACGTCAGCGGTCCCTTGCCTCAGCGGACGGCGCGGCTGCGGCCGGAACCGGAGACGGCGCCGGTTCGCTCCGGCCGACCGTCCCCAGAATGGTTGTGAGGATCGATCGCATGGGCCCGACGAGCGCCTCCCAATTGACGTCACATTCGATGTGATTGGAATCCGACAAAGATAACCTTATTGTTCTGATTCTGTTCGCAGAGATTGAGCGCTTCCAAACGGGACGGATCTGGCGCGACGACAGAAAAATGGTCGATGTCACGAAGGAGAAGTCCTTGCGAATCAGCAGCAGGGTGGTGGTACCGGTCAAAGAGCACCCCAAGGCAAGTGGTAGCGCCGGCGCGAGCAAGCGCGCTGATGCTCTCATTTCCTACAGTTTGTTCTGAGGGCGGAATAGGAAGTATTCATTGCTGGCCGTGCCCATCGCTGTTACTTTGTGCATAATGTTGGGTGAGATCGATGCCATAAGCGTAATTGTGTGCTAGCCATCTGTAGTGACACACACTTTGCTGTGCTATTGCTGGCCAGTTTTCGGGGGTGAAGGGACCGGTGGTTCTGGGTCCAGACTTGGCGGTCCGTCATCACTCTCAGTCGCGATAAATGATTCCCTTCGCTCTGGGACCTGTGCCAGGGCGATAAATATCCCAGCCAAGACGTAAGCGCACCTATCAACACGTGGAGTGTCCACCGCTTCTGACTGAGATCGAAGACGCAGTCGAAGTTACCAAGAGGGAGAAATTCAGGCCGGTTCTGTTCATTGACATTAAGAAGAGAAGGCTATCAAGAAGAGCAGACTATATATCTGAAAGCAGGCCTACATTAGGACCACACATACTCTCACGCCAAATAAAAAATCCAAATATTTCGACATGAAAACACAATCTGGGCTTGCCCTGTGTTATTTGTTCTCATAAGTCGGGTATGAGATCCTGATGGCCACCCATTCATGCGTCGTATATCAGGATGCTGTGACAACGACGGCGTGCTATTTGAGGTGTTGTAGCATCTGAATAAATGTTCACCGCAGTCGGACCATTGCAAAAAGGGCTGCTCGCAATTTCAGTCACGGTGCCGGCTGGCTTCGATGAGTGATTGCGCGGTGACCTTATTCAATATCTCGAACAAGATGCTAAAACGTCACACGTCCTTTAGACTTGACACATGCGATGCGAAGTTTTATTCAGGAGTGAGCAATGACAGGCAAATACTGAGATACGGACGTTTGATTCGATGTGTGGTGTCGTGGTACATACGACACGATCACACACGCGTTGTGGTGTCGTGGCCCATGCAACAAGGTCACACGCACCACGCTTAACTCTGTGATCATCTGGGTCACAGTGATATCCTTCGAAACAAATATTTGCATCTCCAAACGGAGCATCTTAGGATTGCTAAGACGTAAACGTATGTTTTTGGCTCCAGATATATTCAAAGGAGCAGTAGTAATCAAAAGTTCACACATTCGGGTGGTGTTTTGATCCTGCTAGAATGAGGGTCACAGTCCGAAGTTTCCAAGTACGGTCATTAGCGGTCGTCAAACAAGCCAAGTGATAGTGAAATGCTCTGCTTAAACTTTTGTTTTTCCGTCACGCTGTCCGCCTCTCCTTCCGTAGCGCTGAAGTTCGGAACTTCGCTGCCATTATTTAGATTTACTTCTCTTACAATCTGCGTCTATTTCAGTTCAATTTTGTGGGCAAACTTCTCGGCCCCAAGGGAAACTCTCTCAAGCGACTTCAGGAGGAAACCATGACGAAGATGGCCATTCTGGGCCGCGGCTCTATGCGCGACAAGCAAAAGGTAAGACAAGCAGCCGTGTAAGACAGGGCCGGCAGCGTTGCCTATATACTATAACGCTTATCATCAGCATATATCATCGTTAAGCCAGTCACTTCTGTCTATTTGCGCCAAACCCGGCAGATGGATGTTTATGTTTCGTTATGTCATTTAAGGAGCAGGAACCATGCTACATTTTTTTACCCGCTTAAAAATGCACCATGCGAAACAATGACTCATACTGTGCAGAGGTGGAATTGACATCCACCTGCTGACACGCCCCTCAAATCGAAACCCCGGGGCAATTCACATACACCACGTGACCTGCAACATGTGCATCATGCTGCCAGCGTCGAGCTCCACAACGGGCACCATATTTCTTGGAAAGTAGGAAGGTACGATCATGCATGTCGCGTTAGAGAATATTCCCATTTCACCGTCAGCAATAACCACATACACATACACATAACTACATTATCACTCAAACCCGCGCAAATGAAGCTGATCCCCCTGTGTACCAAATGCATCTTAGAACCGACATGCTATGCGACTGCGTCGACTGGAACCGCACTAAATGTTAGATGCACTACGCAACATGGCGAGAAGCAACACTCCACTTGATATACATATGATATGACTCAAGAGGCTGTACGTTTTGGATTTAACACTGGGGGCGAACGCAAAAGACGTTCCTTTATTCGTTTTTTTGTCAGGCTTCATGACAGCCTGGTGATGATGCTGTGCTTCGTTGATGCACGTGACGACGAAAAATGAAGGTCAAACCGCATTGGCCTTCTTCTGTCCAGCTGCTCCACCTCGCCTCACCAATCCCCTTGATGTGTGCGCGGCTGCTGATCGCGGACATCGCACTCATGTGATCTCTGGCGCGCTACTCTTAAACACCCCATGCCTTCTGTCATCAGTTTTGGAAGGAACTTTTTAACTTTTCCGCTTCTGTTGAATCTTACACGAACTGAGCTGTTATGCCAGAGATACGCAAAGGCTCTGTTTTCATACTGTTTGTCCCAGAAGCGTACGGTTGCTATTTTGCAAGTATTCGATGGTCAAAAATGATTTGTCAGAGACGAGGTCAGTGTGGCCCAATACCGTCGACAAGCCAGTGCTGTCGGTTCAGCGGATAAGCGTGCTCTAGTTCCTAACTTTCCCTACGCCAAGTAGGGAAAGTGAAGTGAAGCGAAGCTGTTCAGTGGTCGATGATCGAAATCAAGTAACGCAAGTAAGTGTACCAGAGTCCCACGAATCTAGCTATGACCCACCTGCAATAGGCAGCGTCGTCTCAGTCAGACGACGTCGGTGATTCGCTGGAAGCTTGTGCTCGGCCCCCTCCCCAAACTGGGCCCGAGTTCGGTCGCGTCACGTGAGCCTCGGCCGCGGCGTCGCACGCCGCAGTCTAGACCTAACCCCGCTATTCAAACGGAGCCCCCCAACCCGGCACGTGTCAGGATCGACCGTGGCGGCTCAGCGCCGTCCCCCGGGGTGAGGTGACGTCGCCGCACACGCCACACAACACCGCACACGCCCCGCCGAACCGTAAGACGGTTTTCTGTTGCGTCGTAGCTCAGGTGCTGGGATGTTCGACCAATCTGACCCACCTACAATGCAATAATTTTCGGTCAGGAAGGGCAAACTTGGGTGCAATGGCGAGGCATTAACAGGGACATGTACTTGCAGACAAAACCTGTGCAAGAGCATCGGCACATATATAATAGCCGCCACGCCTTACGCGCCGTGTGGCTATCGAGACGACCATCCGAGAGGTGGCACAAGAAGCGGTTTTAATACGAAGTCGGTCGATACGGAAAAAGTGCAAGATACATGCATAATTTGTTCCGTCAGGGACTTCAGACCACGCACCACCAGTCCTCCATAAAAATTTCCAAGCCACATTTCCTCCCTGTCTGCCATGACAGGGGAAACGAACGGCAGGGGTCTTTTCTACATGAACCATGCTCTGGCGTCGCTATTCGTGCCCGCGCCCCCTCCGCGACACCAACATCAAGTCTGACACCATCTCTTGACACATGGGACGTGTTTGGTTGCGGTCTCAACCGACAGTCCGTGGCCGGACGGCTGTGGTACAGCAGGCCTGACGACCGCGAGGCATTATTGGCACTGATGGCTCACTCCCATCTGCTAAGGGCTGACGCCGTCCCCCCCCCCCCCCCCCCCCCAACTGG